TTTATAGGAAAATCAAGAGCTAAGAAGACTTGAAAAACAAAATCCCAGCAGACTGAATCAAATGCCTTCATAAGATCAATTTTGAGTGCACATCTGGGGCTAAAACCATTCCTGTGATAATTTTTCACCAGCTCATGTGCTAAAAGGACATTCTCAACCATCAATCTTCCTTCAATAAAAGCACACTGGTTTTTACTAATAAAATGTGGCAGGCATTTTTTCAATCTATTAGCCAGAATTTTAGCAATGAATTTATAAACCAGGTTGCAGCAAGAGATAGGCCTGAACTCTGTCATCTTGGTAGGATTGCTTACTTTAGGAATTAAGGAGATAAGAGTAGAATTTACTTCCCTTAGCAGCTTACCTGATGTGAAAAATTCCTTAATTGCCTTGATCACTAAATCACCAACCACAGGCCATGCAGCCTTATAGAATTCTGATGTAAAGCCATCTGGTCCAGGTGCTTTGTTTGTTGGGCTATTGAAAACCACATCCTTAATTTCTTTAGCTGTAATAGGTTGTGTGAGGGAACTTTTCATATCGTCAGGCAACTGGTATTGAAGTAAGCTTTTTAAACAATCTGTTTCAATCTGACTACAGTTTCTGTCAGCTGTCCCTAGCAGCCCCTTGTAAAAACCAACAGCCTCTTTTTGCATATCAGATGGGGAGGTGAGTTTCTTGTTGTCAAGTGTATATAGCTCCCTTATTGTGTTTTTACAAGTTCTAGCCTTAACCACCTTATGGAAATAGGTTGTATTGCCATCACCCTCTTTTAGCCATTGAATCCTTGATTTTTGCTTAAAATAGGACTCCTCTGCCAGTTGCAAAGCAGCCACCTTCTGAGCTTGCTCATGCTCAATACTGACTAGAGCATCATGAGGAGATGCCAACAAATCTGCTTGTATAATATGTAGCTTGCTTTTCTCTTGTTGTAATCTATTCTGCAAATCATAGTAGTGCTCTCTATTTAGCTTCCGAAGAACTAATTTCAAAGCTTTCAATTTCTTGCATAGCTGAAACATATAGCATCCATGTACTGAATTAGTTTCCCAGGATTGTTTTACCAAAGTAAGGAAATTTTCATGCTTAGCCCAGAAATTAAAAAATTTAAAAGGCTTTCTATCTCTTGTCTCCTCAGGGATTTTTATGTCTACTAATCTTGCACAATGGTCAGAGCAACCTGGTGGTAGAAATTCTGCAGTAGTATTGGGGAAGACATCGAACCAGAACTCATTTACCATTAAACGATCTAGCTTTTTTGCAATGGGGTCTAAGTTCCTCTTATTTGACCAAGTAAAGAATGAGCCAGCAGTGGGCAAGTCATGAATTCAACTTCATTAAGCATCTTATTGAAAACCTCTGCCTCCTTCGGAAGACAAGAAATGGATTGCCAATCTGATCTCTCACACAAATCCCTGATTTCATTGAAATCTCTCCCAACCAACCAGGGTACATTAAGCAAAGCTTGACTTATGGCTACTAGCTCCCCCCATAAATCTTGCCTCAGATCAATAGAATAAGGATCAGCATATATCACACTCAAGAACAGATATTGAGCAGTTGTTGAATTGAATACATGACAATGAATGGCCTGATGATGCATACTAGATATAGACATGTGAATATGGGGTCTATGAAATACCCAAATTCTTCCTAATTTGGCATGCTCATAGTTGTTAAGTGCAGTCCATCCAGGCAACAGAGAATCAGAAACCATAATGAAATTCTTCTGTTGGACATGAGTTTCTAACAAACATACAATATCTGCATTATACTGAGATAAGTAACTCTTAAGACTCCTCTGCTTACGAGGCATATTAATGCCTCTCACATTCCAAATTAGGATCTTCATTTAGGTTGGGAAGAGGATACCTCACCAGAGGAATTTGAACTTTTTCTAGGCTGTCTTTGCTTGGGAACTAGTGCCTTTATTGCTATAGCAACTCCCTGGGAAGCTGTTCTCACTTTTCTTGGCTCAAGAATGGGCGCAGCATCAGCTTGAGGTTGTTCAGATACTTGGGCAAGCTCAAAAGATTTTTCCAACACATCAAATGAATTAACAAGTGGGAGACTTGGGCTCTTTGAAAGCACCGTGGGTTCCACTGCCTGCACAATTTGAATATCCTTCTCTTGAGCTGGCCCTTTGTCTTCCTCAACTATAGCCTGCTCTTTCTTTTTTCCTTTGGAAATTGTGCGCCATTCTTGCTTCTGTACAACCATACTTTGACTCTCCTTTGCACAGTCCCGACTAGTATGACCCTCCTTTTTACAAGTCTCACACTTGACAGGGAGCCAAGGATATTCAAATGAGACCTCCTCCTGCAAATTACCATCAAGATTCACAGGTGCAGACTCAGGAAGAGTGTGAATCTTTTCAACATCTACTTCAACACATATTTGGGCAAAATTAACACGAGTACGCTGCTTAGTAGCCTTGTGGAGAGACAAAGGTCGCCCAATTACACTAGCAATGTAGCTCAGACCTTTAGGCGTATAAAGAGACAAAGGCACGCCTCATATCTTAACCCAGATTGGCATCTTTGCAGGTTTGGCCTTGGAGAGCACTGCATTAGGGTCCCACTTTCGTAGAATCAAGATCTTGTGCCTTACATGCCATGGAATCTTGGAATTTAGAACCCAATCTCTAGTTGCACTATCAGGAATCTGGAACAGGAAAGTACCATTACCCATACCAGTAACTAAGATTTTCCCTTTCTTGCCCCAGAGGTGATTAACTGTATATACAATATCACCATAATTCGGAGAGGAACTACCCAAGAAACTCCCAATAAGGCAATTCTCCCTAGATTTGATTCCTTCTTGATAGACTGAGCTAGGCGGTTTCACGACTGGCTTTCCGTCAACCATCTCAGGAGGGAAATAAGAGAGAGAAGCCTTACCCATAACATTTGTAAAGCAAACCTCACCCATGTCGCTTGTTACTACATCTGCCCAAGAAATTCTTGTTGGTGCGACTGGATTCACAGCAGGAGAAGTATCGGCCACCGGAGAAGACGCAGACACCATTACAGAGGTCGATTTGGTAGCAGGGATTGATTTTGTGCCAATAATACCTTGAATCTCAGCATGCAACTTGTCACGCAAAACTTCAGAGGATTTCGACGAGGCGCCAGTGTGATGATCTACTCTCGCCGGTGAACAAATTGCAGAAATCCTGGGCGAATTCCGACGAGAATGCGCCATGGACGACAGTAACTGTTTTCTCTCTCTTAGACAGTTATCACTCTAGGAGAGAGAAAAGTTCGATGTTTCGTTATCAATCATTTATTATCTTAAAACAATGAATTTCCCCAAACATTTAATATGAAAGGAGAATTTTCCTAAACATTGAGATGAAAAATCGAGGAAAAATGCAGCCACATGCGTGGTTAAAAAAAGAAGAAGAAGAAGAAGATGCAACCAAGTTAGTGCTGTGTTTAGGATAAAAGATGCTAGTATATTTTTTCCTCCATAGGGACCATATTGAATACTAAGGAAATTAATAGGACTTATTTTGTTTTGTAAAAAAAGTAGAAGGAATTAAATTTTAGCAAAATTTCACACACGCCGCGATACCAGCAATTTCGTCTGACATTTTATTTCATTCCAATTTCATTTTCTACTTCTCTCTCGAAATTCTCCCCAAACATTTGGCCCTCCGTATAAACTCTTTAGATCCTGAGGAAGACTAGAACGCCAGTTCGAGTTAAACTGTATCTCCAACTACAGATCTGTCTCAGATTTCTCGATCCGTTAAGTTGTTTCTTTGCCCTGACTTGCATCTGATCGGTAAGTTTCTTGGGTATAATCATCTTCACTTCCAGATTTACAGATTTACAGATTT